TTTCCCAATTCCCACAAAATCTCAAGAGAAGAAAAGGGAACCATTTTAGATTCAGGCATCAGAACTCAGTAAGTGTTGAAATAGTAGAAGGAGATCAGAGACTGGTCCAGATGGCCGAGGGCAGAGGCCAGCCAAGTGCACCTGAATCCCTGCAACTTAAACACAGTAAGTGGGGCTTTGGGATGGGTCTGTGTTTCTTAAAGGACTTTAGAGAAAAGTCTTTTCCTTCATTTTGATAATTAAAAAAAAACAAACCCCAAATAAAAAACCCACAAATGCAGGGTAAAGAACAGCAGCAGTGTAGCTTATTCCTTCACATGTTACACTGAATACAGCATTTGCTATTACTGACCCAAGCAACAATACCTTACCAGCCGTGTGTGTTGCAGGTTGGGTTAAATCCCTTGGAGCCAGTGGCTGTAACAGCTGCTTCCACTCGGGATCACTGTGAAGAATTGAGTTGCAATGTGTAATAAAAGAGCTAAAACAATGTTTACCTCCTCCCCAAATGCTGGCATGCATTGTCAGAGATGCCCTTTCCATGCCATACAACCAGGAGTGTGTGCTGTATTTAGGTACTGCTGGCAGTGTGTGCAGGGTGGACTAGGAGGACTGCTGTGCCCATAACCCTATGGCAATGCGACCTTGATTCATTTCTGTGTAGGAAGGCCCACGTGCAGGCCCACGTGGTCAGATCGGTTTCGCTGTCAAACCTTTTGTGAGGATGGCTGTATCTGAGAAGCCAGGAGCTTTGAGGAGGGAAGTAGCAAGGGCACACCAGGCAGAGGGTTGGTGCATGCAGGGACATGTGCATGCATGCATCTGAGGGAAAGGCCATCCTTCTGGGCTCTGTGCTGACTGGAAGAGGCTTGGAGGCGTGATATGGGAGCTTGGGGTTTGAAGACCACTTGTTTTTTGTGTCTGTACTCATCTGTTACCTTGGCAGGTTAGGGCTTGCTCTTTTTCTGGCTTGATTGTTACATATATGAATTGAGCTGAATACTAGTGACCTAGTGATTTTTAGGGATTCTGGTTGCTGCTGAAAAACAAGTAAAAATAGCCCGGCCTGTTGTATAAGGCCTCAGATCTGGTCTTATGCTTCAGGGACTATGTCTGTGTTGCATTCAAAAGGGTGACTGAAGGACCGGCAGCACCAAAGCTGAAGACCAGTGGCCTCTGTATTTACTCAGGTAGGTTGCCAGCACCGACATTCATGACATTGCATTGGACACTGGTCAGGCTGGGTTAGTGCTGACCTGGATATTTCTGTATGAATCACCAGATGCTGCGTGACTCAGGTCATTGCCCAGGCAACTTCATTGGGTCCCTCTGCAGAAACAGTTTGTTCCCTGGCTAGACACTTTCTGCTGGAAATACCTGCCCCAGCCTGTCTAGTTGGATGAACATCTGGGACTATCTAGGGAGAAGACATCCCAGACAGTGATGTGGGGCAAAAGGCAGTTTTCAAAGTATCCAGTGATCAAATCACATTGCATTAGCGTGTTAAACTGTCAGCCTCCAGCAGAGCACTCGGAAGGAGGGAGAGAAGAGATGTACAGAGAAAAGGTCCAGCATGGTCCTGTCCTGCAAACAGTGAAGAGCAAATTTCTCCTCATCATGGTGGGGAGATGCCAAGCAATTGATTAACTGGAAGACAGTTATCTGAACTATTTAGCAAACTCTCAAAAATTCTGACTTTCTTCGTTATTTGTGCATTTATTAAAAAATATTGTATTTATTAAAAGTCATTCTGCAAACAATTTGCAAATGGAAAAAATAGTAGCTAGATGAATGAATGCTCCAGCACACCTTGTCTTTGTGCACTGAACTTCATGACCTGACTTCTGTGGAGGTGTTTGCAGTGCAGAGAGCTAAGCTGCTGCAGAAATCCTTGTGGGAACAAAGCTTCGCCTGCAACGTGTGAAAGCCAGGGGCTGCTTCTCGTTATTAGTTGTGTAGGCTGCTGGGACCTCATCTCGACAGAGGCCTTGGGGCATAACTACAAATAACAACAGCTGTAAATAACAATTAACTGTAAACTCTATGCATCTCAGCTTTGTTATAAAAAAAACCCCCAACAACCAACAAACAGCAAACTCGTAACTACTGGGAGTAAAAATTAAAGGAGCATTTTACTTTTGTAAGGTAAGCTGGAAAAATGCTTGGAATCAAAGAAAATTTGGTGTCACTGGTATTTCATTTCCACTGATTTCACTCGATACAGAAACAACTTTCCATGATGGACACAGATTATCACCAGCTTCCCATATATATTGTTTGTTAGCTGTATGGCATGTGCAGCTGGAGAACAAAATAACTCCACCTTGTGCAAGTGTATCCTCTCTACTCCCATTTATAATGTAAATTTACATCCTTTCAGTTTAGAGCAGTGTAGCTTACTGTGGTCCTTAATAAAAATTTATAAAGCAGAGGAAATGAGAGGTTAGGAGTAGTTTGGTAATCCTAAAAATGCAAAGACATTATTAACATTTAACAGTCATTGCTGTCAGTGTCATTTCTAAATGGTATAATTGGCAAGTAAAAGGGAAAGATTAATTTTTGGACTTGTACGGGATGGTGCAATTTCAAAGTCGTCATAACCCAGACAGGAATCCAGTGATGTAGGGGTCTTTGGTCAAGTCCCTCCATGGAGAGAATTTTACCCTAAAAGACCAAGTTGCATTTCTATGGAACAGATTAATTGGATGTGATTGGACTTAAACAAAACAGAAGAAATATTTGTAAGTTCAGCCATAAGTCAGGATTTCTCTGTTCCCTGGTAGGATTATTATTGTTTCATTGTTGTCTTGTTGTTTTGCTTTGCTGTTGTTGCTAGCTCCAGAATTCCTGGAAGATCTTTAACACATGTTCGGTGAGCCCTTCTGCCTTTATTCATCTTCAGAGGAGCACTTGTCTAGGGATCTTTGCTCCTAATCAGCGTTTGCATGTCCCCAAAGTAACACTGCCATTATCACGCCATGCCAAACCATTGGGATTCATACACACATCACTCTGGCTAGCTTTACTCCATTTGCTCCTCAGAGGAAATACTTTTGAATTATGTACGTTCATTGCAGAAATGACTGTTAAGAAGTGGTTGAAACCAAGATGTTCAGCAAATAAAGGAAATTCCAGAGCTCTCAAAGTACCTTTTACTGTGATATGTTATGACTGCACATCCCCTTTCCTCAAACCATGCCTTTTAGTGCAAAGCTCACATCTGCTCTGCTGATAACATGACGAAAAGTATCTGGAGTCATGTTCCCAGGGCATCATCGTCAGTTAGATTCTCCCCAGCCTGATTATTCATCTTTTTCTCTTCTACTCATGCAGATGTTGCCCCCACATCAGCCTTTCCACAGTGGTAACACTGATTGCAAATGCTCTTCACATAAATATTTATGCTGGAAAAACAGGGAGTACAAATGACTTCACATTTTTGAAAAAGGTGATGTCATGTAGACCGCTGTGCTAGGATGGGGCAAGACGGAGTTAGTCAGGAGATCACCTCAAGTCTGATGCTCCTCTAAAGCTTCCTAAAAAATAAGCTCTGATTTTCGGTCTTTCACTTTAGGCAGAGACCTGGTGGAAAAGACGATATTTCTGAGGGATTAGTAATGTCTGTCCTGGTTTCGGCAGGGATAGAGTTAATTTTCTTCCTACCTAGTAGCTGGTACAGTGCTGTGTTTTGGATTTAGGATCAGAACAATGTTGATAACACATGAATGTTTTAGTTGTTGCTAAGCAGGGCTTACACTAGTCAAGGACTTCTCAGCTTCCCCCGCTCTACCGACTGAGAAGGCTGGAGGTGCACAAGAAGCTGGGAGGGGGCACAGCCAGGACAGCTGACCCAAACTGGCCAAAGGGACATTCCATACCATGTGACGTCATGCTCAGTACATAAACTGGGGAAAGCTGGCCGGGGGGGCCGCTGCTCGGGGACTGGCTGGGCATCGGTAAGTGGGTGGTGAGAAATTGCACTGTGCATCACTTGCTTTGTGTATTATTATTATTATTATTATTATTATTATTATTATTACCACTACAACATTATTGTTGTTATTATTATTTTATTTCAATTTTTAAACTGTTTTTATCTCAACCTATGAGTTTTTCTCACTTCTACTCTTACAATTCTCTCCCCCATCCCACCGGGGGGGAGGGGGGAGTGAGCGAGCGGCTGTGCGGTGCTCAGTTGCTGACTGAGGTTAAACCA